TAGCGACATCTATTGCTATTCAATTGTCTTATCAAAAGTTACCACGGAGATATCAACAAATTATTGATTACCAAGTTACTAACAAATTGCCAAGAATATATATAACAGTTGTTAAGAAATTAATAAATAGCCGTCATTCAACCATTACATTCTGTATTATGTAAACGTTAAAATAAAGTATAAAATTTCCTTTGTAGTACCGTGACTTTATCATTTACCGTTATTGTAACTACAAATTACAATACACTATTGCCCTCTCGCGAAGACCAAGGAAACTACATAGCGCGTAATTGCAAAATGACGACTTAAAATAATAAATAACATATTCAAACATATCACAATTTGAATTATAATAATAAGTAAATAAACGAGCGACGGTAAATAATCTTATGTTAATTGTTACTTAAATAAAATTTTGTAAATTTAAAATTACTTCTACAGATGTCGCTATTAAAATAGAAAATGTATTCACTTGCGTATCTGTATGAAATAGTTCACGTTATATAATGGTGGATCTGTAGAACCATACTTGTTCTTGGATTTGGATACCTGTTATTTGAAATATATGACAATGTCCTTTAGCAGATTAATTGTAAGTAATATTACAATCTGTAACTTATTATGATCATTAATATTTCAGTATAAATGTATAAAAGTGACATTCCGACAATTAAATAAAAGTAAAATATTCTGACAATTTAATTGTTGAATTGATTGGATGAAAACATTGTAAAACTGAAGAATATTGTATAAAATTGAAAAAATATTACTATTTTTTAGGTGCGGTCACTTTCTACCAGTTCTGCTACTCAACAATTGATCAAGGTATTTTTTAGAACGCATATTGGACACAAAATTATATAACTTTGAAGAATATGTACTTAACTAATATTTTATAATTATATGACTATTTATAATTCAGCATTCTATGAATTACATTTAAAGATTTTTTATTAATTTAAATTACATTGCATTGTCTTTTTGTTTTCAGCCTCCAATCCAAATATATGGAATAGAAGGACGATATGCCAATGCACTTTATTCTGCAGCTTCAAAACAAAAAACATTAAATAATGTTGAAAAAGATCTGCTTAAACTTCAAGTATGTATAATAAATGCTAGATTTGATTTTTAATTATTATTATTAATACTATTAATGAAAACATAATGTTAGGATCTTCTGAAGAAGGACAAACAATTAGGAGAATTTGTGCTGAATCCATCAATAAAACGAAGAGATAAAGTAGAAGGGCTTAAGGCAATTGGTAAAAAAGTTAATCTGAGTAGTGAAACTATAAATGTATTGAGTTTACTGGCAGAAAATGGCCGACTTTCGCTTATAAACAATGTGATTAATACATTTAAATTATTTATGGCTGCTAATAGAGGTGAAGTTCCTTGTGAAGTAATAACTGCAAAACCACTTGATAATGAAATAACATCTAAGCTCCAAGCAGTTCTGAAGGGATTTTTAAATAAAGGTGAATCTATTCTGCTTACATCAAAAATTGATCCTTCTATTATTGGAGGTATGATTATATCAATAGGTGATAAATATATAGACATGAGTGTTTCTAGTAAAGTAAAAAAATACTCTGACATTATTGCTGATACAGTGTGATCACTTTTTTTAATATTCAATGATATGAGTACTCATATAGAACAATTTATTGTATATATCATTAAACAATAAAACATTTAGAATCTACTTATTCCTATTAAGAAGGTCTGTTTTTTATTGCATCAAACCATTTTACAGACAAATAACTTTTATTTCTTTTTTTAAATAAAATCAATCAAGATGAAAAATGAAATCTTATTCTTTATGATACTGTATGATAGTAAAATAATTATATTTATTTTTATACTAACAAAAATTTGAATGCTATTTAAAAAGTATTTTTATTTGAAAAATTAAGTACTTACAATGTTCTGAATTTGTATATGCATTTACAGAAAAGTGCACAAGGTTCAATTTTTAAATGCCATTACATTTTATAAATTAATGTATAATTATAAGAACTTCTATTAACATTATGTTTTAATATAATTAATATGTTTATTGATAGTCTCAAATGGCAAACAGTTGACTATCTTTCGTGAAAATTTTAAATGGAATGTTCTAAATAATATTAATTATGCAAAAAAAATGTGCTTGCATATTATTTTACAATACGTTTTAAAATGTGTAACAATAGATATATAATACTATGTAACAATAAATCTTAAAAAAGAGATTAATTATCATAATTTTTCTTCCTATAAATTTGTTTGCAATAATTCCAAAAAAAAAAACTAAAAAATAGATCTCGGAAATATATATACAGTTATTCAAATACTTAATATTCACCAGACATTTTGCAACTTTTTTATTTATGATTAAATTATAAATTGCACTAAAATAAGACTAGAAAATATATTGTCTAATCTAAATTTAAGTGTGTGAAAAAATTCACACGTAAATTTTTACTCTAATTGTGAGAATAATTTCTTTGGATGGATGTGCAGAAAAAATTGAAGGCACATCAGCATAAAGTTTAAAAAAGAAATCATTCATCAAAATTGAAGTAATTTCTAATATTTTTCCTTATTTTATCTATATTTTATATTGCAACTGGAGGTATATCATTTTTTACTAAAACCCAATCTTCTTCCTCAAGTGTAGTTGATAACATAAATTCATTTGGTACAACTGGAAATATATATATATTCGATTTATATTACAAAAATATAATCGTATATATATCAAGAACTAATTTTAATATACTTACTATGAAATTCAATTTCTAATTCATGTTTATCCGTACCTGTTGGCTGTAGCAATTTCTTTCCATCAACATAATTAATTTGTTGTAAAGGTTCATTTAATTTATCTTGTAAAAGTTTTTTTCTGCATTCACCTAAATCTTCTAACTTTCTTAATTCCGTACGATAACTGACATCTTCATCGCCAGATTCCGTTTCTGTATGATCACTGTGGTCATTATATTCACCTTGCTCATTTTTTTCTTCTGTGAAAGTATTGGAATGTATTGTACAATCTATATACGTATCAATAGATTGGGACATGTTTGAATTAGTAGTGCTAATTTGACTACTTGTCATATATTTTGACAAATCAAAATCCAAAACGTCAGATAAAAGTTTTTCTTTATTTTCCACATCACGTTGAATTGATTCGAGATTCCTTTCAGTTTTTAATATAAAGTCATCATCGACACTGAGTGTTAATGAAGAAGAATGCGTCGTTTTTGCATCATTAGCATTTATTTTGTCTTTATTGCAAGCAGACAAATCGCTCGAATTAACGTCAGTTAATGATAAAGAATTTTCATTTCCATTTATTAGTCTATTACGTGATTTTTTAATTTTCCTTTCTGGAGTAAATACAACATCTTCAAATTCTTGTTGACTAATTTTTTCAAATATTTGCCTCCTATCATTATGTTTTTCATTTTGTTCACTACTTTTTTTTTTAGAAACCTCACTATATTCTGTTATTTGACTACTATCTGTTATTAATGAAGAATTAACATTTTCTGAGATTGCTAGAACTTCCACAGCTTCTTCTGCATTTGTAACTGATGTTACATCAGTACCAACAGTAACAATTGGTACAATTCTAAAAAGAAATATATACATTTTATTTTTAAACAATGTATATACTATTTATTAATAAAAATAAATACTTTTTTTACTAGGATACTTTACCCTACAAACTGAATTATATTACTTGGATTCATTTTATGGAAAGGAATAGCTGGCACTATCGTACTTTCCATTAATTTTGAAGTTATTTCTAATATACCATTGGTAACTGGTTTACTAATTTCAGCAAATGACAATAATGGATCTGATATATTGTTTGCTTCTAAAAATAAAATTAGTTTTTAAAATTTAAATATTAGAAAAATATTAATAATAACATTCAGAAAAATATTTAATAAAAATACCTGATGAAAACATATTAGTTTCAGGATAATATGCAATACGTATTATATTTCTTTCCCCTTCTAATACAAATATTTCATCTTTTGTACAAGCAACATTAGTAACACGACGTAAATCCGTTATGATGGATGTTATAGCAATAGTTTGTGGATTTACTACATATATAATATCCTCACTATACGTAACTAACAAGTCATCACAAAAAGGTAAAATGACACCAAATGTAGGTTCTCCGCGATTCTTTTTACAACTTTCTGGTGCTGGATTTAAAAGTTCTACTTCTGTATGTCCAGATCGAACGGCGTCCTTAAAAATAAGCGTTTTTAACACAGTTCCAGTTTTATCAGCTTGCCATAAACGTAATCCTGGTCTACTAGCATATATTACTAAATCTTGTATATAATTTTGTCTACAACCAAACACAGCACCTAATCTTCCCAATCTAGAACACATAGTTATTATTACGGTTTCGTTTATAATACTAGTATTCTTCAAAAATTTGTAATTAATTAAATGAAATACTGACGTTTTGCGTTCTTTTTGACCAACTTGCGTTACCTTTCCATTCTCATTTCTATTTACCAATATTGTACGTAATGTTGTAGAGACTAACAATAAACCTTGCTGATAACTTAATTGCACTACTGCATATTTCTCATTTAATAATTCTGATGATTTTGACAGATGCTATAAAAATATATATATATATAAAAATTTATGAATACTATGTTATTACTTAATTTACATTACATACCATATAAAAATCAATTTCAGTAAGTACAACTAAACCATCTTGATCTCCGCTAAATAATTTCATACCATTCTTAGACCACTCGACTGTTGTTACTGCACTATTATGTAAACCACTTATGCTGTATCTTTCAACTTGTTTTTTCTGCTTTGGTTTCAAGCTATCTGGTAATGAATCTGGTGGACTTTTAGGTATTTGAAATACGGTTACTACTCCATGTTCATTACCAGCAGCAACCATATAGTCCACTGTTGATATCACTTGAATACATGTAATTTTTGAATTGACATTCTGAAAAAATGAAAAAATAAAAATATGAATTATAAAATAATCACAAATTAAAGATATATTTTATATTACCTCACATCGAAGCCTTTGCAAATCTTGCTTTATTCTATCAAACCAATATACTAATCCATAGTTAGTTCCAATAGCTATAAATTCAGGTACTGCATCAATACAGGTAAAGTTAATGTTATGTGTAAAAAGTCCAGTTTGAATTTTTGCAGGTATCTGTTGAAGAAGCATAGCAAGAGGTGCCCATTCTCGTAAAGTACCACCATCTTCACACATAGGTGTTGTCATTGTAAATGCTACACATATAAATTATATTAAAATTTATATTCATCACATATTTACTAAAAAAAAAATTACAAACAACGTAAGTAATAACAAATGAAGTTAATTTGTAAATAAAGTTTGATATTTCTTTTGTGTAATTTTATTCTATATTATATATGTAAATTATTAATGATAAACTACACTATAGTTACTCTAAAAATGACACGTATGAAATCATTATTTATCATTAGTCACAATAAATTTATCACATGATACATTACCTTCTTATAGAATTAATATAATTCGTAAAAAATATCAAAGTCACATTCAATCACATTTCTTTTATCGTATTACATAAAGTAATATTTTCACAAACATTTTAATAGTTCATCTAATATTTTGTAATTCGGTAAATTCTGATAAGACTACAGTGCACGCCTTCAAGCACCATAAACCACATCATGTATAGAACAGACATATGACTATGGTTACACTAAAGCTCGTATTTTCTAGGTTTATTCTATTTAATATTGTCAAATAGTATAGTCAAAATAAATACATAGCATATTTATATTTATATAATACTATAATATAGTATTAACATATTCAAAAAACGATCAGAGAATAATATTTTCAAACTTAAAATTTAATAATGCATACTTCTAATAAAATATAAATATTAAAACTGATAATTTTTTATATATGTATTAATCATAGAAATTTAAGAAATTTTATTTATATGCATAATATTAATTAAAGCAAAAATTCATATATTTATAAGAAACTGTGTAGTATATATATAAATGGTTATTAAGCAAACACTAGAAAAGCGCTGATTCAGGATATATGTATTCTATTATCAATGTTTGTCAAGTGTAAAATGTTATAGATTGGGAAGATAAGTTACAAATATCTTGAATTTTGTATGTCTATTTAAAAAATCTTGAATTTAGTATGTCTACTTAAAAAATAAAGTTTTTAAAAACAATTTAAAATCAATTTGATTAACTATAATATTAACTAAATGTCTTTACGCAAATGTAATATTCATTAAAAAGTAAAGTTTCTACATGGAAAAGCGATAAATCAATAGTATTTATATCTTAGTTAAGGATGTAAGAATACTAATATATGTTTTTATGAAGTTCTTGTTTTTATACTAATCACTAAAGAAATTTATTCCTTATTAGGATAGCAAATTTCAAGGTCGGCAGAATAAAATAAAAAATAATTTAACGAAAAGAATTTATTTAACGAAAAAATATCAAAGCTTAAAACTTGATTTCATTTTTTATTTTTTGTAAATATATACAAAAAATGTTAGCAAATCTTTCATCAAATTGCATATGGTATACTAAAAAATAATTACTATATATATAACGTATTAAATTTTAATAGTCAACGAAAAATATAAATAGACGAAACCAAGAATTATAACGATTAGATGTATATTAAATTATTTGAAACAAGATTTTTATAATTCAATATAAAGAATTATAGAAAATAATAGAAGCAAATTTTATTTCATATATAAAACGATGAATTGACTTATCATATACAAACGATATTACTAATTATTACCTTCATTTTTATAACAAACCAAACAATTGGAAACAACCTTAGGAAAATATGGGACTTACTAACAGGATTTCACAAAAAGTCATTATGAAATGAATTTAATTTAAACATTATACAGCCGATGACAAAAATGTAATGCTTTCATTCACTGCCTGACTGGTTGTAAACTGTTATTCTTTTACAAGTATCTTATCATTATAATAATAGTAATAATAATATTAATATTATATCAGACAGATTCACACAACGTTCGCAGTATGAAAAGTGATTTTTTTTCTTTATATATTTTTTGTTCTTTTTATGTTCCTTTTTGCTAATGTTTACGCTCCCCAATGACTAATATATGTAGCACAAATACTTAGTAATCGTTTTCGTTTAAACGTGAAAAATGTGTAAAAACGTGAACGTTCGATGCGACGACGGTATAGAGCATTATTTTGGGGAAGGGAATTTGCGTACTGTTTTTCACTTGATTTCTCTCAATAATAATAATTTTGGATTTGCTGAAATACTCCTAATTCCTGTCAGTGGCTCGGAGCTTTTCTTCAACAGCTTCTTCAGAAGCCTCTGAAAGGTCTGTTGCCTGTATGTATTTTTGCACACCAACTAAGGATTTTTTCAAAGCATCGAAAGAACTAGAGTACAACATCTTCTTCTTAACTTTAGCTGTGTCAGGACACCACGACATCAAGAATAATTTTTGTTTCTTGGAAGCCTGAAAAATAACAAAATCCAATTGAATATTTCAGACAAAATTTTCGATGATACCAATTATATATTAAGAATATTACCTCGGAAGTACCCTGACACTGATGAGTGTATTCAAAATCAAAAAGGCCATAGCGACATTCTCCACTACCACCTTTCTGCAAATCTTCAAGGAAAGCGTCATAAGCTGCGTCGCGAGGTCCGATGACTTCAACATCAATTTGTTTTTCGTCCTTAATGTAAAAGATTACATATCGATGCTTTTTGTCTTTTTTAATCTCTTCGTATGTTGTTTTACAAACATCGGCCACTGTTACTCCAGATGCCTAAATAAAACAAAAACAAACAACTATTAATAACATTTAACGAACTAATTTCATTATTTGTTTCCCAGTGTGTTTGCAACAAATTCTCTTTTGCGGAAAATTACAATTGATAATCAAGTGATTGATCAATATAGAGGGGAAATTTAAAGTAACATACGATCATCAACATCGCATAAATATTACAAGTGAAACAAATATAATAATGAGTCACAAGGTTGCATAAAAGTCTAATAAAAAAAAAAAAAATGTTTATAGAACTGAGGCATACTCGTTGAAATTGATACCGGTGACAAGAAATCTGTAAGACTTTATATGATTTATGACACGTATTCTTGCTGCATACGTAAGAATGTGAAATTCGAATTTAATACTTTGTGAAATTCTTTCGCTTAAATGTTCCGGTGTATCGTCGAAATAGTAATTAGAAAATTCGAGTTCGATTGTAATTGCATTCGATGTTTGTTTCGTTGATTATCAAGCTATCGTTGATTTACCACTCGACAACTTTCCCCCGTCCCATCTCTTCCATGATAGTCATTCAGATAAGTAATATTTTTTCTTTTGGCGTCGGTGCGAACATAGATTACGAGCGTCGGATATCTTTCTGCATTTGTGATGTTATAACGAAGTGGTTAACTGACGATGAGATTGTGCCAATATCGGTACTATCAGTATTACGTGCGTCATGTTAGTCTGGCCGTTTAAGCTTATTTCGCGGGCAAACGTAGGGGACGTACCGAAATAAAGTCTTCCCACGCACGAATTCGATGCTAAAAGAGATCCGACGTCCATTTCTAAAGTTATCCCTTGCTTTCAGGCACGTGCCACACAGTACAGAGGTCCGTTGGACTGCGTGTTTCTTCCACTCTGTGGAAATTTGTGAAATACGACTATGACATGACACCCGGACGTGAAATTTTGGCGAAGAGAGCAAAACAGGGGAAGATAAAGGAAAACGGAAGGGGAAGGTAAGGAGAGAAAGAGAAGGAGGAAAAGAGGGAGGTAACAACGCCACAAATGGGCGACACATGCAGAGTAAAAAGTGGGATAGCTATTTTTGAAACAGAACAGTCTTCGATCCTAGGATTTAATGCTTTTGATTCGATGGTAATTGCGAAAAAATTCTTGGTTACCTTGCAACTAATGTAAGAAATCGTGACAAAACAAACAGGTTCACGACTATAAACAAGAAATTGCAAGATCGCTAAAATTAGTCGGGTAAAACGTAATTCGATATTTGAAGATAAAGCAGATACTTTGCCAGACCAACTATATATATACTTGCTAAAACTTTATTATTCATTCAAATTCAAAGCACTCCAAATTGCATGTGGAATGACGATCCAAAATTATTTTATATTATTATTTATAACGATTACCGTACACACGCTGAATGTTTCTAAGAAATGTTGTTTATAAAATTAATTTATTTTTACCGATATTTGGTTCACTGTGTGTTCCACTGTAAATACCTTCTGTGTGAACGGTCAAAGCGGTTTGCCTGTTCCAGTATAATGAAAGTAAGGGTCGACTGGGGTGCAGAAGGGTCCGACGAAAAGTGTAACGTGGTTGGAGGATAGCCAGTGGATGGAGGATGCAATTCCTCGGTCGATATTCTGGCACGACAGGGGATGCCGGTTAGGGCCAGACTTGGCTCCCTCTAGGGCGTTGTTGTAAACGTCTCTTGTGTGTGGCACAAGGTCAAACGGAAGATGATTCACCGATGAGGACATGGTCGGTTGTTTGACTGTCGAGTATACTACTCGTTTACATACGAGTAGTATGTACGATTTTATATGATTTCATAATTCGACATAATATTAAAAGGACAATACATATTCAGCTTCTATTATTTGAGAAAAGTGAAACATTATTTGAGGACGTGTAAGTTGCGTAAAATCTATTGACAAGAATAAAGCACTCATTTACGTGTTTAAATTCAGTTATCTTCAATTATTTTAGATTCTAATTGCCCCAGTTCCATTATTCAATAATGATAGGGATTTTCTTTGTGAAAATTTTAAATACACTGTGTGATGAAACTGTGTGATGAAATGAATTTAAACGGAGGAGGATAAATATGATTGTATTTCAAGCAATGATGCGAAAAAGAAAAGGTTAAACGATTATGAATAAGACACAAAGTAAAATTAATCATCGGATTGCTAAAAATAATCAGTTTATTCATCACGTTTACGAAGGCGTCAGTGAACTTTGAGAGTCACTGGCCTGCAAGAACCGACCTCCTTACGGGCTCATTGAATTTTTCCCTCTCTACCAGAACTCTTGTAGTTCACTGTCATCTTCAAAGCTAGATAGAGGGGAAGAGTTAGTTTCGCGAGGAATTCGGCTCTTCATTACCAAGGATACAGAGTCCATTGGTATCTAATATAAATATTTAAAATATATTCGGAGAACGGTAGTTACTACTTGTGCCAGTTTCACATGGTTAATTTTCTGTCGCCAATTTGCCGGAAACGGAACGCAACTACTTGATGAATTCTTCCGGAACTTCGATAGATGCATCGCGCACATGATAAATTTTATAACATAAATGTTGAATTGTCAGAAGAAGTTTGGAAATACTCACAAAGTATTGACAGTATTAAATTGTGGCTTTTACTTCCGTATATAGAATGTGTGTAATTGCAATTGCGACGGATAGAACTTTACCTTCATGAAAATTAAAACTATTCTACGAAATTTATCTTTAAATAAATCATGAAGCACATTTATATAGACAATATTAATCGACATTTATATAAATAGAAAGTTTACACTGCGTATAGATGTCTTTTCTTGCAAGCATACCAATAGGTAAACAAAGTGGTACAATACAAATATAAAAAAATAAAACACAGCAGAAAAGAAAGAGTTCCTGATCGATAATAGTGTTCGATATTTCGACATTGCATGAGAAAATTTGTACAAATTTTCAATCTGGCATAACCTATTCGTTATATATAAATTTTTGGCAATTACGACGAAAATTCGAGAAATATTTAAGCCGAGGACACGAATTACACGTTGATAACAATACTTCAATATATTTTATAGCGTCCAATGAGATCAACGTTAAATATATGAAACACAGAAAGGAATGAGTCCTTATTAATTCAGCACCATTAAAATCGAGCAAAAAATTTTGTTTTTGCATTACTATATTTCGTTTTCGTTGAAAGAATTATAATAGTCCAGAAGATTTGAACAATTTGCACCGAATCGAAGCATGTAGAGACAAACTAAAAAGACTAGCCATAAGAAATGTTAGATTAATGGGAAAATATCTTTCTACTAGTGCAGCAAGCAATTCTTCGTTTCTTGTAATTAAATACAACTGAGAAGGAATTCACAAAGATGATTGCCATGCGACAATACGTTACAACGTAACTGTGAGTTTTTACTCGTCAACGATATACAATTTTTTTTCCGTCACCGATCACAGTTGGTCTTCGAGTCTTTAACTATCGTATCGCGAAACTGGAAATGAATCATCCGTTTCCTGGAAGCAAGGAATCGCGATTGTCACGTAAAAATACACCTACGTTAGAAGTTTTATTAATGTTTGGTTTGTTGCTAGAAGCCAAAAAAAATTAATGGCACAAATGATTTCAAGCGAAGAGTTAAGAATAAATGATATCGGTTGATTGGTGTGGCCAAAAGAAGAAAGCAGTCGTTCTCGCGGCGTATTGCCGGGACAGAAATGGCGACCGGCGCGTCTGCTTCGGCCATAACCACAAAATAAGCCGTGTACCGGTTTCCAAAAGATTGTTGACATTTTTTGGAAGTTGGATGCATGCACAGTGTGATATTTACCATTTTGTGATGTAGTAGCCGGTGAGGAGAATCACGTAAACAAGCACTTTAACCTACACTTTCACGAGAGCCTCGATCTGGTGGAACTGGATAGGAGCAGTGTCCAGTCGCGGGGGTCGCGGCTCACGAACGAACGGGAAGGGAGGCTCCTCTCTTAGCTAGCTTTCTGCGAATCCTGTATCCCTACGCCTGCGCGCGCGCACTCTGATTAACTTTGTCTTGATTGGCCGATCACTGACTAACAAGAATTCGTAATTGATCAGGCGAATAATTTTTTCAGAAAATTCATTAACAAATTGTATATGTTGAACAGTCTGTTCTTTTCTGCGGCGAATCAACGAATTAAATTCATGTAAACGTAAACTTTATTTTGAAACCGGTAGATTGCTCCACAATGCGCAAGCGTTGTGTGATGCGGTCGTGCCGGTCGTTTATATAGCATCTAATTTTATCTAGAATACGATGTTTTTTCAAATTATTTCCCAAATAAAGACAATTAATGAGTTTTAACAAAGTTACAAAACAACTAGAGGAATCGTTCAAAGAACAATGATAAGTGATCTATAGAAATTAATCATCGATATGACCTGCCGGTCATATCAACCAATCATAATAAGGGACGTGGGGAAATTACCTTATATGGACAGCGGCGTGCAAGCGACCGCATACAGACGTCGCGCGTCGTTCTGTGCGCATGCTGCTTTGCGTGCGCATGACGCGCAATGTAGTTAATACTTTCAAAAGAATCTGAACTATAACATCACTGTATCAATTAGACGACAGCTTCGAGTAAGTTTATCGTTAAAGATTAAAATATATTGTAAAAATTAAATCATCGACATGATAAATTCTTTTGTTAAAAATATTATCTTGAGGAAGACATTTCTTTTAAATTAAGTAAATTAAATTTGATAAGGATGTTTCAAGTAATGTGTTCGTCAGGTATATTCATGTGACATTATATTTGTTTGAGAAATAACATTATGATTATTTGAAACACAAAAATTTATGAATTGTAATATTCACATAAATATATTTTCCGTAGATACCATATCTTGATACGCTAAAAACATAATTAAATATAATATTTCTGTATGTTAAAATTGAAGAAATATAAGTACATTTGTATGTATATGTGTATATTATTATAATACTGTTCTCAATAATACAACTTAAAAGCGTATGCAATACATTTAATGATTTTCTTTTTATACAATTAGTCTTAGATTATTGCTAATTTATAATACATAATATAATTAAAAGAATAAACAAGATTATAAACATAACAAATTATAAAAAAAATACTGAAGCAGTCTGTACTGAATTAAATAGTTAAAAAATACTTGAAATATATCTTAACATATTCTAACGTTATTAATCAATTGTTTATCAAAATTGAATTTATAATTTGTTTAGTATAAAAACTAAGTATTATGAACATAGTATCTCAGTCTAATTCTTAAAATATTCTTTAAGACAAAAAAACATAATTTTAATAAAATTCGTTCTATTTAACAGAGAATTTAAATATTATTATTTTCAAAACTTTAAATTATATGATTTTTATCACATAAATAAAAATGTAAATCTTTCTAAAATTTTTTAATAGTACTGTCTAGGTACATATATGTACAATTTTGGCAAAGTGGATAAAAGCAAACATGCTTTACTTTGATAGTGGATAGTAATGATTTTAATTCATATTTGATACTTGTGTATGTTATAGTTTATGAGCTTATATAATCATTTATGAATTTCATAAATCATATCAAATAATTTTTGATATCCTGAATAAATTAAATTTTGTATACTAAGATGTTTTTTGAAATGAAATATTCGTTTATTGCTTTCAATGAATCTACTTTCTAAATTAATGATTCATAATTATAAAAAAAAAATGCATATTTTTTAATACAAAGTATCAAATTTTTATTTATTCAAGATATCCAGTTTATGATTGTATGCTAAATAGTAATATTGTGAGCAGATGCAAAAAAATACCTAATTATTTTAAACATTAATAAAAATCATATTATGATAATATACTTGTTAGATTAAAGTCAACAATAATCAGATTAACTAGACATAAGAAAAGTATACATCTAAAAATATTCTTTTATCATTATCTTTCGTACAGAAATATATATATTTATATGTATGTATATAAGAATTTAGTGATTTAAATTATTCGAATTGTTTAGAGAATATTTACAAATTTTTATAGTAAAACATATTTTGAAGCTTTTGTAGCCAAATTATATTGGCAGTAGTTTGCAATTACAGTGTTAAAACACTGAGAATAAAAAAATATTTATACGTATGATAATCTTCGTAATATCTTCATACAAAGCAATTAATCATCATAAACATAATAGAAGCATATATTTACTCAGTTCAAATTTGTATAAATTTTTGTATTTTTTCTATCACGAGATGGCTGCTTATTTTATTTTAACATATAGAACATAGAAAAATGTCACATATTGCTACACGCAAGTCATGATTAATGTATTCATGATCTATATCAATTTTTGTTATTAAAATTATCTATTAATATTTGTATTACAGTTCTTAATAATGAGTTTATTTTCTCTCTAAAAAGTAATTTGCTTTTGTTAAAAGATATCACTGAAAAAGTGAAATAATAAAGAAGTCCTAAAATGATTCAAATCATAATACTTTTTTTTTAAGTACTCACTAATTGTGTTCTTTAAAAAATAGAAATGTTTTAAGAAACAATGAAAGTGCATCCGTTAAGAATACTATATAAGTATGATTCTGTAATAAAATCACATGGTAGAAATCACCTATATCCTTTCTAACAACGAGGAATTATTATTTATAACAAAAAAGGAATATTATGTGAGAACTATATATAAACTAGTTTCTCAGTCAACTGTTACAAGACTTCGTCCTTATTTTTAGAATTAATCAGATATCATCAAGGATTGATTTTTTTTTTACTTCTAAAGGTAACATATCGTTAGATCAGTCCTCGTTTCTTCTTATAATCTTCCAAATTTAAGGATCGTCGAGGTCCAGTATCTTTAATGTTACTAATAGGTTTCGGCAATACGCTAACAGGATTATCTAAAAAAATTAGAAATACCATGTTTATAATGATAAACATAACAAATGTTTAAATTTTTTATTTGGAACAAATATAAAATGAATTTTTATAAGAACTTACTTGGAATTGGTACTTCTAAGTCTATTGTGATATCAAAATCGTGAGCATTAAATAAATCTTCAGTACTTTGTTTCTTTTTTGTTTCTTGACCATTTTCTTTTTCGCTACATACTGCTACTGCTTCAGTTTGTTGAGGACTTGCTTTATCACTTACTGGATCAGTAGATGATACTTCTTCATCTTCTGGTTTGAAAACCATTCTTGGTTTTGTACTTCGTCTAGTGAATGGATCATCTACCTTTTTACCTTTATTGGCTTTAATTTCTTCCTGTTGCATAAAAAGCACATAATAGATTAATGATATTAATAATAATTTTTATATTCTATAGTATGTTATTAATTTACCATTATTGCTTTTTCAGCTTCTTCAACATTCTTTTTTCGGTTACGATCATTAATGTATGATATGCTAGATATCGTTGCAGTGCGCATTTTATCAAGTTCGGAAGCACGTTCTTCAAGTTCACTTAATTCTTGATTAAGCCGACTAGCAGTTTCGTCATCTCCTCTACAATTAGCTGCATCTCTTTCACGCATAAGTTGTGCTTTTTTCATTGCATAATTATATGGAGTTTGTTTAAATCTTTCCTTCTCTCGTACTATTTTTTCTATATCTTCTTCTTTAAATTCATATACTAAAGCCTCTTTGATGTCTTTTAACTTTTGTTCAACTTCTTCAAAAGTTGGCATTGATATTCCTTGTAAAGCACAAGTTTCTTTCCATTTAAAAAATTCAGATTCAGTAAACTCTTGATTCGACACAAACTCTAATCTGAAGACACGTTCTTGAGCTCCGTGTCTTAGTTTCAATCCTTTATTTGTTCTTGTCCCACCAAGTTGATAGATTTTTCCTGTTTCACAGACACCGCTAATTTCAGCTACCCTGTATACTGGTTTTCCATTATTGTTTCCAATGCCAATTCTAACAAAACAACCTTGTACTACTCTATCAAAGAAAGGTAGATGTACAAATCTTTCCATCTTATGACGAGATAATCTAATTTTATTGAGATCGTCCTTAGAATTAACATATATTGGCTTTTTCGGTTTTGCTTTATTACTGGTAATAGATCTGCAAAATGATATTTTTGATTATCATTAATATCATTAACTTTTATCTAATGTTTTTAGAAGAAAAAAACTTGGTTACTAACTTTTTATCCGCATCAGAATCAGTATCTCTACTGTCACTTGAAGATGATCTGTGATGACATGATGGTTTAGCAATTTCTTCCTCTTCACCACTATCTGATGAACCACTATCATCAGAATAAATATCAGATGCTTTAAGTTTAGTTTTGTTTGCCCCTCCTTTATGGTCATCTTCTAATTCTTCTTCTTCAATATCTTTTGACTGCTGTTGCTGTTGTTCTATTCTTTGTTTCTCTTTCTCTTCTAAATAAGAAAAGAGAAAAATAAAATAATTAATAATTCCAATTTTTAATTTATTTATTTTATATTAATTTTTGTATTCAATATTTTACCCCTTTCTTTCTTTTCTTCTCTTCTCGCTTTAAGAAGAGACATTGCATGGAATTTTTTATCTTGTTTTTCTTCTATTGTCTTTTTACGATCTTTACTTCGTTCTTTAGGGTCTGGTGCTCTATCAACTTTCTTTTCTTCCGTGCTCTTTTCTTTCTTTCTTGATTCTTTTTGTTTTTTTAATTCTTGTTTCTTGGCCATTCTCAATTTCTTTTCAATTTCAAATCTTGTTTTCATAATTTCACGTTGTTCAATACGTTTGAAAATCTCTTGTTCACGTTCTTTTTCTGTCATTTGAGCAAGTCTTGCTTGATCTTCAGCATCTCCCATTAATTTATCATCATAGCCATCATTAAATTCTTCTTGGCTAGAATCAGAAACAGTAGCATCTGAGTCTGAAACCTCACCTAAAAATAAGAAATTACTCTGTTATGGAATTATAAAATAACTTTACAAAATATCATTATTAATATCAATTTTACATGTACGATTACCTTCTTCTGGTTCAGAGACTTTTTCAGTTTCTTTTTCAGTGACACTTTCTTCGCTACTAGACTTTGTCACCTTACGTTTATTTCTTTTACTCGGCACTTTCTTCTTCTTATTTTTTCCAGTTTTTGCACCCCAATCATCATCTGAATCTGATGTATCTGAATCATGTTTATTGTCTTTTTTGATAGTGCCGGTTTCTTCATTAGAGGGAGATCCATTTTGGCCTTTGCCTTTCTTTTTCTTGGCAAGAGATAATAAGTCCTGATTCAAATACATATAAATTAAAAATCAGAATTCAATTGTTTCTGAGAGATAAATTTTTCAAATATATGATACCCAAAATATTTACGATTACTATAAAAGCCAACGTATATTTTTTCTTACTTAAATTTAAAGTAAATTTAAAGTAGCAAATTTCTGTAGCAAATTAAAAATCAACTAAATTCATCTCTAAACTTAAACGCATACTATTTAACAGGTTATGTAAATTTCGCTTGTACATTCTTTTCAAATTACATTTTAAAAGCATGGAACATGACTTAAGACAAAGAATATTACTAGGAAATTCAATGTGTCAAATCTTCGATACGTTAGAAGCTAACTATAAGCATAAAACAGAAGATATACAATACGAGATTTTTATGTAAGGTTATAACATTTACATTATCCAAATCCGAGCCACTTTCCGATGCACTGCCAGTAGTATCAGAATCTATAAGAGCCTGGTTCTTTCTCTTTGGCATTATCACGAGAATACGTAAACGGAGATCGTGAAAATTGCACGCCCTCCTAACAAGGATAAATCTAACGTCATGCAAGATACACTAAACTAGGAAGACCGCGTAGAACCAAAGACGTTAAACATCAACGCTAATATAGTGGTACGCCATTCGTTTCATCAACCTAGTTTTACGCCGGGCCAGTAATATTGTATTGTATCATGTACAGTTACTATATGTTTATTTATATAAAAAAAATCGTTATCATAATATTTCTTTTACGTAATAAACAACCATTCGTATTTCTGTAATGATTTCACAAGTATGATAATTTTTTTGCGTAACCAATCGAAAATTTAAACGAGGTTGTCTGTTCTTCAATGTCAAAGCGTACTGTTTATGGTCGTATAATTGCGTTCTAAACATTTAAAATGAATTAAAACTTCTAAATAATTGAATCTTGATAAACGGACAAGTATAATTTAATTTTACAAATTGTGCCGTTGTTTGTTAACTGTAAAATTTTGAATAATTTCTTCTAATGTGATCGGCATTTATATTCAATGTCAATGTATTTTTTTGTTAATAATAAATTTCAGTTATTTTATATCATCATATAAAAATGAATTTGATCGGTATTTCTTTTTCTCGTTTGCCTCCTTTTACAAGTTTTCTTCAAATCGAATGTTTTCTAATGCTTGTTCAGACACAGCGCGCTTAATTTTCCACTGATAACGAGTCGCATAATAGTTTCATTTTGGTGACATTTCCTTCCGTACATTGGTAATTGTGAATGTTGACACTTTTTGCCGTCAATGGCGTATAATAGACGCAAGTGTGTCGATGTGTCAGGTAAATTTTATACTATATTTGATTTTATATGACGTTACAGTTAGCAGTGAGATGTAACTATAGCAGTGGCATTTATAAATTAATTGTAATAGATAGTAGTGTCGTAGAGAACGTGACCATTCTAATTACGGATGTTTAAACTTGAAATGTTCAATGGCTGTGAATATGGAAGTAGAAAAGAACACATCCAAAGAGGTTGACACTCAACTTGCGGCCAGCGATTCGATGGAATTTAATGATGATATTCAAAAAGACAACGAAGATATCAAAGACGTTGAAGATTCATTGTCTTCTCTTAAAAATATTACGATTGATAATGAGAAACGTGACGATACTATTATATATGCACAACTTGAGAATTCCCAGATTTATGTGAAAGATACAGAAGATAATCTAGTGTCCACGAACGACAAGGAAGAAGAGAAAAGTGATGAAGATAAAGAGAAGGAATTATTACAGAATGAAAAGGTTTTAAAGAATGATTGTAAGACTGAACAAACAGAAGTAAGATCAGAAAATTCTACTAATGGTTATGTGTCTCAAGCTCCATTAGCTTTCACAATTGATTTTGGCAATAAGGAAGTTGATGCAACTAAATATCAAAATTTGTTTGAAAGATATAATGCTAGACACAAAAGAAATTTGTCCACATCTAAGGTAGGTACATCTAAAACATGCAAAATTGAATTACATTAAAGTTTATATTGTACATAGTATTATTGTGGATAATGTAAGAAAAATGTATAATACAGATAAAGTAAAATTTATGTAACTAAGATTGAAATTAAATTTTTAGGTAGAAATAAACACAAAAAAGCCTGGTACTTTAATTTCTTCAAATTTCACACAAAAACAAAAAGTATCTAGTACACATTCTGAAGGTTATTTTAGTAGTGAGGATGATACAAAACGGAAAACAGATCAATTATCAGAGAAACTGAAACAACTAGGTAATCCGATTCTCTTTCCTTTAAAATTACGTTTAAATATTGAAAAATTAAAATTTTATCAAATTTTATGTTTTTGAAAATTATGTTCTTTAAATATGTTATATTAGTTATGAAAATAAATAATTAATTTCCTTTGCTTTAATAATAATATTCAAGACAAGCATTATTAGCGCAATTTAATAATCTTGTATAATCTAAACATGTGTTTATTATGTAACATTTAATATGTTTAAAATTTTCCAATGATTGAAAAACAATTCCTTTTGAATAGCAAACTGTATACAATGGAAGACTATATTTGTAATGTATGAGTCATGATGAAGTCATCTTTACCATGCTTTTTAATATTCATCTCAAGTACTTTCGATACATTCACAATATGTAGGTTGGCAACATTAATGATTGTAATGTCACTTATGATATTAAAAAATTATATTGTGTTAGAAAATATTAATTATCTGTAAATTTTAACATTAATTATGTAAATTCTGACATTAATATTGTTTTCCACATTTCCATTATTTTGCAGTCTTAATTTATAATTGAATATAATCTATTTTTAGGTTCAAAATCATTTTTAAAACCATCGCATACCTTACAAAAATCTGAGTCTAATATAAAAGTATCAAATTTTCAAAATAAACAAGATACAATGAGTAAATCTTTTGACCAATCAAAACAACTTAAACTTCCTTATAAAAATCTTTCCTTAGAACTTGGTTATACAGAGAAAACAAATGCAACATCATATTGGCTACCACAAAAGTCTGCTACTGTAAATGATTTAAGTAGAATTCAATTAAACAATTATGATGATGATGCTGAAAAATTGTATACAAAGAATATTGATCAAGAAGATGAATATGAACATTCATCTGATAATATATCTGATAAAGTGTCTAACACAAATTATGTTAGAAATAAAACCGTAAATATTAAAGAATCCAATTTATCTAGTGTCAGTTATACAATGGAAGTAAATCCAGATGATTTAAATGAAACAAATATAGATGTTTTCAATGTAAGTAATATCGATGGAGGATCAGATGGAGCAGTTAGTGAAGCAGGGACATATACAATTCATAAAGATTATACAGATGAAGAAAAAGCAAGAATGGATATTGATAAGGTATTTAACGTCGGTGTTTTGACTGAAGAAGACAACAATGAAGCATGTATTCATAGTTTTAAAGTAAGTTAATTATTCATTATTTATTATTATTATGATAATTATTCTTTTATATATTTAAAGTACTTATATTTTTTTATTTATTTAAAATACTTTTTATTTCAAAGATGAGTGTTTCAAGAGATAACAATACGTGGATATCAGAATGGGCCACTCAAGTAGCAGAACATAATTCGTTACCACCAGCAATTGGTGGATCAACTGGTCGTACGCCTCCATTAAGTCCATCCAAAATACCATCTCCTATTCATAGCAGATTGCAACGACTCGCTCGTAGCCGCAATGTATGAAATATTCATTAATATTAATATTTAGAATGTATATGTAACGAGTGTGTGTATGCAATAATGATACCTATAGGTAACAAACATACATAGTGATAAATTTTAGGAACAAAGTGACAGTTTAGATGTGGAATCATATTTACGAATAAAAGAGAGGATTGGTTTAATTTCAAATCAACATACACTTATTGATTCTGGTGGAGAATCAGATGATGATACCAGTAATAGTTATAATACACCACCACAAAGTTCACAAAGAACACCAGTACATGCGGTTTTGACCAGGAGAGGAAGTTTATCTGAATCTCTTTTTAGAAGAATTAACACCAATGAAAATAGGAAAAGTATTCGTAAATATATAAGTCCAAATAAATCAAAGACTGAAGATACAAATGCTGAATTAAGTAGTCCGTCCAAAGAGTTTACTTCCCTTCATTTAGGAAGACGAAGTAGTTCCTTGGACAGGTAAAGGAATTATTTATATAAAAAAATATAATTTAAACTATTTTTACAGTCTGATTTTTTATAATATAGGAGAGACTATACATCTAATACAACGGAATGTAATACGTCCAAAAGAAATAGTACGAAATATCAAGATGATGAAATTAAATACTCAAATAGTCCAATTTTAAATCGTCTAAGACCGTCTACACCAAAATTAACAAACAGTCCAATTGTAACTCGTAAGACAGCTACTAAAATTCTAAATTCACCAGTATTGGAAAGAACTAAAAATTTGACAAAATCTTCTCCACAAGCTAAAAATATTGGATATTTTACATGCGTTGAAAATAGGTATAAATAAGGAATAGAAATTGAGACCTTTCATTTATATATTTTTATATTAATATATACTAATTGTTTTCCTTATTTTTTAGTCCTTATATGTTAAGAAAATCGAATAGTACTGCAACTTATCATGAAGAAAATGTTGACTTTAATACAATAACAGACAGTGTTCTTCAAAATAGTCCAAATATTAAACGTAATTTCAATATCCAAAGATCATGTAGCAATGCAAATATTAGAAATATAAAATCACAAAGCCAGTCATCCCGTCGCAGTAGCTTTAATAGTAGTGATATTGATAAATCATCTTTAGCAGGAAGATATCTTGCTGCTTCTGACAGTAGCAGTGAAACTGGTGAACAAGCAAAATCTTCATTAGGTTCAATTTCTTCTGGAATTAAATTAAATCGAGCTTTTAGTATAAGAAGAGCAAGGTACTTAAGAAATAATATAATAAGAGTAATATTGATATAATGTATATTTATTATTATACTTCATAATGTATAGATTAAATTGTGAATCTGATACAACCCCAAATACAACTCCTGAAGAAAGACGTAGAAGAGCACAAAGTGAAGTAAAGTCGGCCAATTTAAATAAACAGCAAAATTATCATCGAAGTCGTACAAGTAATACGAGTGTACATAATAAAGAATCTTTAAAAAAATCAGAACCTATAAAACCAAGAGCTGCATCTATATCAAGAACTGATAGTACAAGACTTAGTGTGAGGTCATCTCATGTAAGTGTTTTAAATTTTTAAATTAAATATTTCATTCTTCATATTTTATTTTAGTTCTTTTAAATTTTTTAAAATTATTGGTTTGATGTAATTGTATAATTAATAATCATTTAAAATATTTTTAGCATGTTCCTACTACACAACGACCTATTCAAAAAGTGAGTAAAGATCAGAAAAATTCTGGTAGAAGCAATTCAACATTAACATCAAAAGAA